GATTTACTTCTCAATTTTCGACATGACAAATGAATAAACAAACCTAGAAAACCAAAAGAACGTTAAAACCAACCTTTTTTTACGAAACCTAGAAATCCCTTTGAGCTAAACCCGTGCGATGAGAAGAAGGATGAAGCGCAGCTGGAATGGCAACACTGGAACACAACATCTGAGAGGAAAACCGATGAGATAAAGACCAAAAGGGCGGCTGGATTCGCAGCGCGCCTCCCCAAACGAAAATCGACGGCCCCCCACGCATGCAGAACAGTGAACTCTGATCTTCCATGGCTGCCCCCAACCAGCCCAACCAGCTGGTTCGAAATGGACTGGAAATCTCTGAGCGAACGAAACGTTCGCAAGGGAGGAGATGCGAATGGGAAGGGGCAAAAAGGGAAGAGGAGAAAAGGTTTAGTGGAGGGCATTTTCGGCAATTCACTGTGCTGAAGAGAAAACAAAACGTGTAACAACAGTAAAATGAGGGGCATTCTCGTAATTCCACTGTGCTTAAGAACAGTGTTTAGTTGGATTGCCATTTATAGCATGTTTACTAATCCGGAATTGAATTCCGTCTATGGAGAATTCCTGCGTTTACTTCACATCAAGGAATTGAAAAGTAAGCAGGGCCCACACAAAATTAGGAATTGAATTCCTGATTTTGGAGGAATTCAATTCCGGAATTGAAGGTGGTATTCTAATTCCTGGAGAATTCACCCATTAGGAATTCATCTTTTTTACCCATTATATCCTCACACAATTTTCAAAATTCCAAATATGCCATCTACTTTAACCAAAAAATGTGGACATTTTAGTAATTAGTACCACTCCTACCCCAATTCCATATGATTTAGTAAACAACTTCAATAGGAATTCGGAATCTAACTCCCCTCAATTCATATGGTTTAGTAAACAACTCCATTAGGAATCCGGAATCTAATTCTCCTCAATCCAACTCCTCCTCAATTCAATTCATCTTCAATTCAATTCCCCCTAATTCAATTCCGGATTAGTAAACATGCCATTAGTATATATATAATTTGCTTTCATTTATGTGTCTTCTTATTCTTTCAATTCAAACATTTTGTTGAGCAGGCACGCATTTGGCATTTTTGGTAGTTCGAATTATATGACGAGATACGATTCACAATCAAATGTAATACCAAACAAATCATTGGATTAGTGTAATTCTACACAGACACATAAATATAAGCAAAGATAATAACTACAAGTCAGATTGAACTTCCATAATACACGAATTGCATCTTCAACAAAACAGTTAGCTAACACCACCTTACGCATAGGACCAAAAAGGAAAAGATAACATCCATCCTACATATCAAACACAAAAAGGCCATTCCCTTCCTTTCAACTATATCCAAAAGTCCTAAATATGATGATAATGATGCAATGAATTCAACCCTCTACAACAAGCTATCAGCCCTGGTGGGTAGCCTACTAAAGAAACTCAAAGGTTGGCAAGGCAACTTGCTCCTGAACCTCGGCGGCCTCAGCACATACAAGCCCAACAAAACCACCACAACTCTGATCCCCTCATCCAATTCCTCATCCAATTCATCGGCATAGATGCTCTCAGCTTGGGAAAGCCGGATATCCATGTGGGGAGGTTGGCGTGGTCTAGACTTATATCGCCAAAGTCCCAAGAAGGCAGTGTAAAGCAAAATCATTAGGATTATGAGCTCTGGAAATGCAACAAGCAAGAGGAAAAATGCAACAAATAGAGCAGAGTAGGCCGGCTTGTTCCAACTGCGCATCAATTCAACAAATCTTCCCATAGCAACAAGTCTTGAGAGAACATTCATTAGTTGAAAGAAGTTGGCTTTGCTCCTTCTCATGCTCCACATATGAGAGTCATGATCAAGCATATACTCCACGACCTCTCTGCCCAATTGCGGCTCTGCCCGGCTAAGCCTAGACGCCACCACATTCATTGCTTGATACCTCAGGGTCTCCAATTGATTCACACTCAAAGGGTTCACAAAATGCATCTTTGGTAACGGTGGCATTGTGTACATATGCATCATGTTAGCCATATTAGCACATGTAAACCGAATAGCTAAATCAAGCTCACCCATTTTCTTTACCCCTGAAGTGTGCAGCATGAGGAGGGGATACGAGTGAGTAATATAAACCCGATCAAATTCAAGTGTGGACAATCGAATCCTAACTTTCCCAATTCGTGAATCACGAGCTCCTGGATTGTTTGCCAAGTTCTTGTTTATGCGGGAATTATCAAACACTCCAATTGTGACAACTGTGCAGGGATCATACACCTCCCAAGTGTACTGCTCGTTCCATTTTGGGGACAAGCTATTGACAACAGTTCGAGTTCGAATCCATTTGTGACCATACTTTGCAACACAATAGGCATCACTAGACCCTTTTTCCCTTCTTTGATTTTCATTGGCATAAGCCCTGTTGCACCCAAAATCCCCATTTCAAGCACACCAATATGAGGCTTCCAAAGCCGCTTGTCGGTTGGCTTAAGATCACTGCTATACATTGTGGCCTCATCTAGCACACGATAACCACCATCAAGTGAAACCCAAAGATGAATTCTAGACCCAAACCTTGTAATCATTTTGGACTCTTCTGCTGCATTGTTGAAATGGTTGTTGTCAAGATTAAACCATCTTGAAACCATTGGCTTTTCATCTGTTCGCTTTTCGATTGCTATCATCGGAAGAAGCACTCTCCCCACCACCTCATCACGCCCTGGCCCGACCTTGTCTTCAACAGAAACCAACAAGTAGTCGTCTATTGGCTCAGCCACCACAAACTTCATCTCATCATTCCAATAAGGGTTGTATAGGCTCCTCAAGCTGCTTGGCTGTGCAATTCTAGTCCTCAAAACCTGGTTTCCCACTTGAACTTTCACGAAAAGCTCAGGAAAGCTAATCATTATAGGCCCTTTCTTACCAAGAACAATGTCTTGAGCTTCAATGATGGACACTCTCAAATACCACAGCCTCGGGGACAAATAAACCTTCGACTTAATCGAACAAAACCCATCAAAATTCACATTAGCAGACTTTGAATGCCAAGCTTCAGCAAATGCCTCATCAGCCTGAGTCCCAAACCAAATTGAAAGCATCACCTCCCATGTTTTCTACTTATCACCCTTCTTATCCTCCATTCTATACCATTGTGGAGCCAACTGACTATCCGGCAAGGCACTCTTCGGAACCTCATTCAAATCAAACCAAACATGGCCTAAGAAGTCATCTTTGCTGCCGTCTTTCACAAAAATCTCCACCATTGATGACTGTATGCAATCTTTTGAAAAAGCAAAAACTTGACCCCACTCAACATTGTTCAAACCAACCTTCTTTGTAATTCCTCTGTAGTTCCCTACCTTCACTTCAGCCACCAAATCTCCACCACCAAACAAAGAGATTCCTTTGGATTTCACAACTCTCACATAAAGGTACTGCATTTGCTCAACAAGGTCATAAGTAGAGCTAGCTTTGTCCTTTTTCAAAGACTCACCTCCAAGTTGAGGCTGAGTCTCTTTGAGTGTAAACTCGGTCAACCTATTTGAGTATACACCCACCCCACCGCCCCCAACACCGAACATAACAGAACCAGGCCCTGTATTAATCAAAACAGGCTTGTTCATCAGAATCACCTCACTTGGACTTGGTTGATCCACATTCTTTGAGTGGTGGTTGTTGTTCTGGTTATGTTGGGTTTGCTTTGTTTCTTGTACCAGCTGCTGATTTGCCGCCATGGTTGAGTTTGGTCCCTGAAGTTTCTTGCTTTTCTTTGAAAACCCAGAAGCCGAAGCAGAAGGAGCAGAAATAAAGGATGAGACTGTTCCATTAGCCCCAAATTCCTTGACCTCTTCCCTTGTTGAAAGGTAAAGCTTGAAGCTTATTTCCCCTCTGATGTGAGAAAAAAGGCTCCTTTTGTCAAGGGTATAAAGCTGAGGGACCTATTCACCTTCTTTTGCAATGTTAGTGCCCGAAACTCGAACTTTTCCCAGGAAATTTCTGCTATTGCTGGACCTCCTCTCGTTGAAGACATTGGCTTCTATGGTTCTGTAAGGAAGATCAGCCACGTCTTTGATATGGAACACAAGCTTTTCGTTCCAAATGGGGTTGAGGTCTTTGTATTTTACTTGGGTTCTGAGCCTTTGGTTCTCAAACTCTATTTCTACAAATGGTGAAGAGGAACCTTCACCGTTTTTGGGCATGAGGTTGTGTGCTGCTACCACCTCCACCACAAGCTTTTCTTTGCTGTGGTTGCTGTTGTTGTTGGTACTCATAGTCATGGTTCTGCTTCTCTGTTGAAGAATAAGGAAGCAGGTTAAGAAATTTGAAGACAACCCAGAAGAGAGACAGAGACAGAGACAGAGACAGAAGGACAATGAACAGGGACGAATTCAAGATTTCGAAATACACTGGGCTGGATTCCCTTATAAACAAACTCGATGGTACGAGTGAATTTCATTGATAACAAAAATTATATACCTAATCAGGGGGGACAAATTGAGCCATACCCTCAAAATGCATATAGTACATAAGATATAAACTAATAAAAAAAGACAATATAGAATAAACATGCAATGCAAATACATAATACATCTATTTGAGTTGCACCCTTCTAGGCTTGAAAGAGTTGAAATCACTAAATAAACATGCAATCCCATAGTTTTTCACAACAAAAATAAGGAAAAAACAAATGCAGACGACATCATGGCAATATAAATACTCTCAGACTCCCCACGAAATTGTGATGTAAGTCCATTACGACCTATTTCATCAAGAAGTGTCTTGGTTGCACCAAATAAATAAATCAAACTTTTGATAGAACTAGAATGAGACCCCCAAGAAATGTCTTGGCTTCTTTGTGTTTTCACCCTCATGAATTGACGCTTTCTGTCCCACTCAAGTAGTTTTGACTCTGTTTACTGTGAATGCAGGTACGAAGTGGGCTATCCCTTCTATTTAGCTATAGATATTTTTTTTGGGGGGCTAAGACTACATCACATTTAAAAATCAAATTTTTTTTGGCATGGGCTATAGCCCATACAGCCCATTAGCTGCATTCGTCCCTGACAATGAAGAGCCAAAAAGGAAGGAGATGGTAAACAGAGCAGAGAGAGACAATGGAGATTCAGAGAGATAGAGAGATATGGAACAATGGGACAAATGAGGAGGCTCAAGAAAAAGCTCAAAATCACTATAGGAATCATACGAGCGTGCATCAGAGTTATTCCAGAGAGAGAGAGAGAGAGATTAATGTAGACTACTTTAGTGTACAAAGGAGCAAGATATGAACTGAGTTGGTAAAAGTAAAAAACAGTCAAATTTCCACCTTCTTTTTGGTGAAGCGTTTTGAAAACGCACCGATGGCCAAGGGAGAACACGGTTGGACATATTGGATATAGCGGGGCCCACAACATTCTTAACATTAACCTACCATGTAAAACTATATTACCATTTCTATAACCTTGAAATTAATAGAGATGGTCAACGGCCTTGTGTTATTCGAGTTGAGGCAGAACGTTTGTATACACAACCCATAACCACAACACACAATGTTTGGTTCTTATGATTACTGTGCTCACGAACAATAATGAAATTGCTGTTTTGTCCTGCTAATGAATTAAATAGTAGTTGTTGGCCGAAATCCAATATTTTTTTTAATATTTTAAACCAAATTGAAGTATAGTGCCACCAAACAAACAATCTCAAAGTCCGAGGTTTTTGTTTTTTAATTTTCTCCCAAAATTTTTGTTTTATTTTTATTTGTTCTTTTATGTTTTTGAGAATGTTTGGTCTCCACAACTTCGAGGCGCGTGCGCGTTACACGGTCTCTGTAATACTGTTACGGTGTTAGCACCGTAGCTGTCATGTGGGGTCCCCAAGTAACCCCGTAATTTGCAACGTCGTTTCGTTTGTCGCACCCAAAAAAAATCTTTCAACTCCAATCACAGGACTTAGCATGGCGATAAAAAAATTGTAATGAAATCTGACGGCTGAGAATGAGATGGCCCATTTTTAATATCTAATTCTATTCCAACCATTAATTATTATTTTTTTAATTCTATGATTAATTTAATTGTTATGTGCAACTCAATTGGTTTATAGCCAGAACGATAATAATAATAATACTAATAATCATTTATTTATGTATTTTGGGTCTGAGATACGCTAGATTATTCAAGGGCAAATAATTGGGCCTTTGCATTTTTTAGGGCTTGGGTTGGCCCAAACACTAGAAACTGAAATTGATGATGGGTCAATCAAACATTGGGCCTTGATGGCATGTGTTATCCCTTTTCCTAATTGCCTCCAAAGCTAATAAACGTTCTCTAACTTGATTCAAAACTTATTAACTAATAAAGCCTTTTTTCTTTCGTCATAAAATGGTAATATGATTTAACAAACTCTTAACCAACTGAAACAAGAAGTTGTGAACACTACATCAACTATTCAACACTCTCTTATGCCACTCTTACGTAATTATCTATCAATCATTATGTACGTGAATCAACTCAGACTTAGTTACTTATTAATCATTACGTACGTGAATCAATTTACAATCTTGTGCATGTAAACGTGCGTGCGAATTATATCATTACACTTAAAACGTGTGGGCTTTTGTTTCCTCAAGATTTTTTAAATTAACTAACTTTACACTTTTGAGTATTTAAAGTTTAAACCCTAAATCATTATTCCTTTATTTAACCGGGTAAATATGGTTATCCATGTTATGTATCCAAGTCATGGAGTTACATAATCAATAGTCCTAGTTTCAAACACGCCCGCCTCATCAACAGTGATGCACGCACAATCAAATATCAAATCCAATGTCCAAAACAACCATGTTCAAATTACTCAATCATATCTACATACATTTCCAAATGTAATTTTCACTCATCGCGATGGGACACTCTCGGATCATCTAAAAAGGTGAGTGTGGCAAGTCTATGAATCCATATCCATCCTGCAATGGCACAACTACTTTTTGGTAACCCAACCAATGTGTTTTGGGTACTAAAAGCAGGAATAAGTTTGGATTTCATTCGACCAAAGAAAAAAAGATGTTTGGATTCCATTTTGTAATTACACGTGGTTTTTATTCCTTGAAACATATTTATAATTAACTATGCATATGATATCTATGAGTTTTATTGCATGAATTTTTCTTTGCAACCTAGTTTGTCGCCCACTTGACAACGTGTGTTGTGTGGCAAGTCTATGAATCCACGTGTGCAATGAGACACTCTCGGATCATCCAAAAAGGTGAGTGTGGCAAGTCTATGAATCCATATCTATCCTGCAATGGTACAACTACTTTTTGGTAACCCAACCAATGTGTTTTGGGTACTAAAAGCATGAATAAGTTTGGATTCTATTCGACCAAAAGAAAAAAAAGATGTTTGGATTCCATTTTGTAATTACACATGGTTTTTATTCTTTGAAACATATTTGTAATTAACTATGCATATGATACCTATGAGTTTTATTGCATGAATTTTTCTTTGCAACCTAGTTTGTCGCCCACTTGACAACTTGTGTTGTGTGGAAGCAATTTCTGAAGATTTTATTCCTAGTCTCAAGTGGAAATTCAAATATGCTATCTCCATTTTCTATGTACCTATCTAAAATATTGACATTTGTACACCCAATAACATTAATTTAACGTAGTTAACTCTAATAAAGTCCTTTTCTTCTTCATAAAATGGTAACATGATTTAACCAACTCTTAACTAACCTAAACAAGAAATTATGAACACGACACCAATTTTGTAACGCTCTCGTGGCTATCAATCATTACATACGTAGATCAACTCAAATATAATTGCCTATCAATCATTACATACACATATCAACTCATACGTAGCATGAGAATTATGTCATAACATTTACAAGTTACAACACATGGGCTTTTGTATCCTCAAGATTTTTTAAATTAACCAACTTTTACACTTTTGAGTATTTTAAAAATATTGACACAAGGAAAAAGAGTACCACAACGCCTCCACAAAAAATACAGAAAAAACACCCTACTGCACATCCCTATCTTTCCTTAGAAGAGAGTCCAACCAAGGTGCCACTCAAACGAAACTGGAGCATTCTTCGAGCCAAATTGAGTAAGAGCATGCGCCACACCGCTGCCCTACAGAACATCCGTCACGTACATGTCGACCACCAACCATCTAGTATCTTCCACCACATTGCGAATGTTGCTCCACCAACCCATTTTGCCAATAAGCATTGAAACAGCTTCTTGGGAGGCAATTGCAAGTATAAAATGATTAAAACCCAAAAAGCCTATCATCAATAAACCTTCCCGTATGGCTACTATCTCCCTCCCCTAAACATCCAACCCCTGCGGCCCTGCAGCAGCAAAACCACAAAAGAAAATTCCTTTCATATAGAACAAACTATATAGCCACTATCTATCTCCTTCCTTGTATGCTTCTAGGTAACTGGGTGATAGGTGTGTAGATAAGTCAAGATACCTCAAACATATCAAGTCACCCAAGGAATTCGGCAGATCAACAAGATCACAGTGATCAATTGTGCCACACAATCAAATTCAATGTCCAAATACCACGTTCAAATTGCTCAAGCATATCTACATCCATTTACAAATGTAATTTTCACTCGTCGCAATGGGACACTTCGGATCATCCAAAAAGGTGAGTGTGGCAAGTCTATGAATCCATATCCATCATGCAATGGCACAACTACTTTTTGGTAACCCAACCAATGTGTTTTGGGTGCTAAAAGTAGAAATAAGTTTGGATTCCATTCGACCAAAAGAAAAAAAGAAGTTTGGATTCCATTTTGAGTTAGCACTTGCTTTCAATTAATTACACGTGGTTTTTATTCCTTGAAATATATTTGTAATTAACTATGCATATGATATCTATGCATAAAAGCTATTTCTTAAATAAATAAATAAAAGAAAATCAATAGAGCTATATTGAATCCCAAGCATTGAGGCCCATCAAAAATATATTGAGTCCACCAACTCAATTCTAGCCCACTAAACTTGCTTGGGTTTCACAGTGGGATTAACCCGACCCATTTTCATAGCCCGAAACAAATCCCCCTTAGCTCCGGTTGAGGGTTTCAGGGTTGGTTTGGAGTTGCTTAACTTAAAAAATAAGCAGCTTTGAAAAAAAGTTTTGGAGATTTGGGTGTTTGGTAAAACAAATCCAAGCTGCTTATTTAATAATTTGTTGTCATTCAAAGCTAAAAAACATAAGCAGGTGGGGAGCTGCTTCTAAAATCTGCTGTCATGAGGGATGGCAAAAATCCCTGCCGGGGGGGAATTTTCGGGGCCAAATCGGGTACGGGTACGGGGGAGACCCGAAAAAAAAATCCCCGACATGTTCAGGCCGGGTATGGTAATTGTGTCCCCGTCCCCAAACCCGGCCCGAAATATATATATTTCTAATTTTAATTAATATATATCTTAAAAGCCTTAAAACATTTTTGTGATGGAGGCATGGGGTTTCGAACCCATGACCTCCTTTAGAACCCAACAACTTACCTTACCACTACTCCACCAATTGTCTTTGTGTTACAGAGAAATAATTAATTAATTTAATGGTTACAATTCCAATTCCAGCTAACAAACATGCATATTAAGAACAAAATTCATATGCAAATATGTATAATAATCAATAAATTCAAACAATCCAAATATAATAGGAAAAATAAAACACAATAACAAATACTGATTTTAAAAAACAAAATCCGTATGCAAACATGTATAATCAACAAATTTAAACAATTCAAAGATAACAAAAATAATCAAACGCCACGACAAATATTGATTTTTTTTTAAAAACGAAATTTATATGCAAACATGATTTTTTCTCTAAAACTACGGTCGATAGATAGAGGTGCCGCAGATTCCACAAGCGGAAATTACGGGCTCATGGAAAGTAGAGACGACTTCTTGAACGTGTTCGGAAATTATGGGCTCACATAAATTACGGTTGAAGCTGTAATTGCTAGGGTTTCTCTAAAACTAGGTCTATAAACTAGTGATTTTTGGGAGCTCAAGTGATGAGCCCCAAGAAGCGGTGCGTGAAAATCCGGAAAATGAGATTTAGAGCTCAAATCAAAACTAAAGGCTTATTTGGTGGAATTATGAAGCATGGCAAGATTGGTACCGTACCGTGCCAAATCGGTATCGGTACCATTTCGGTACCAAAATGACACAACTAAAAAATGAACCAATTCAATATTCAACATATTCATTCACCAAAATAAGTGATGCCTAAGTTACAAATTCAAATATTCAACATATTCAATATCCAAATCCTAATCAACATATCCAATATCCATCAACATATTCAATATCCAAATCAACCGAATCAATATTTATCCATCAACAGATTCATCAAATCCAAATGGTTAAAACTCATGCCTTATGGCTTACAAACCAAAATAGTTAAAATTATGGAGAAGAGTGAGGGTTTGGCTTTGGCATTTGAGAGGCAAGTGAGAGACAGCGAGAGAATGAAAATAAATAAATTATATTTCAGTACTATTCGGTACGGTACGGTATTGACCAGTACCAAATACTTGATACCGCTACCATACCATACTCTATTGGTACGGTACGGTACCGAATATCTCCTCATCCCAAATGAAATGGTATAAAATCGGTATGGTACGGTTCGGTTAGGGTACGATTTTGGTATTTCGGTTTTAGATGCCCACCCCTACTACCCGTGGCTCTTGCTTACTACCCATAACTTACCAGGAAATAAATATTTATTTTGTTTTTTTTCTTTTCATTTAAACAACACAAAATCCCTTGTAAAAAACAAAAATATCACATCTCTTTTTTAACAAAATATAATCCTATAGCCCAACAATATTAAGCCTGTAGCCCAAACCCAATTAATAACCCTACATTTTTTTTTAGGATGAGCATAAACCCTACTTTCTTTACTCAGCCGCCGCACTCCCATCTTTTCCTTCATCTTTTTTTTTTTCTTCCTTTTTTCTTCTTCTTCTCCGCAGGAAACGATGGCCCCTCCCGTGAAACGGTTGTCAACGCTGCGCCTTGGATTGTGACCGTTGCTGCCACCACCATTGACAGCTTTAGTGAAGGTTCGATCCATATCAGGTACTTGGGTCTTTGATTTTAGTTGAAATGTATATTTCCTTATAGAAATCTCTACATTTCAATAAGTCCATGCTACTTGCCACGCTTGATTTGGCTTGTTTGGAATTGAAAACATTTACTTTTCTTTCTCTCGTGGATTGTGGTTTTGACTGTGAGTGTAACCAACAACGTATTAATGCATATCTTTGTATTCAGGAATTTTTGAAAGCTCTGATTGGTTTTATAGACGTTGCTGGCCAAAATATGATATCACTAACAAAGTTTAAAGCAATATTTTGCTCTTTCTTTATCCTTGAGCTTCCTTATGTTTGACAATGTTTATTGTTCAAACGGCAGATGCAGTGAAAGTTGCTGCTGGAGTTTCTCTTGCCGATACAGAAGGTTCCGTAAAAAATCGGGTATTCGGGGCGGGTATGGGAAATGGTCCCCCGACGGGTACGGGGCGGGGATTCCCCGAACCCTATTAAACGGGGATGGGGGCGGGGACGGGAAGGGTTTGGGAATCAGGGTCGGGGATGGTATTGGCAAACCTGGACCATACCCGGCCCGTTGCCATCCCTACAGGAGAAGCATGCGGAGGCTTAAATGAAACTTTCAAATTGCCCATACTGCCCTTATCTCTTTTAACAAATGACACGCTATATCCTATCTTTTTCTCGATCAAATCCTACGAATCTCATATCGCACTCTCCAATCCCTGCAGCCGTTCCTCAAGTTTTCTGGAGTTGTCTCAGCAAGAGGGGCTCTCTTAAATCTGTTCACTGAAGCTGCATTACAGGTATCTTCCATGTCCTCCTGAGTATCTTTATTCTTCTTGGGTATCTCTATCTTTCATATCCTCTTGGATATCTTGCTTTTGTTTTCTGGAATTTGGGGTTTTTGTGTAAAACCTCTCTCTGAACATTTTGATGGAATTTGGGGCTTTATGCGAACTAGAGATTGAAGATGTTTGAGTCTGCATATTTATTAATTTGGGGCTTTGTCAAAACAATTATTTGTTTCATCGAGTTATTTTTTTTTTTGTGGGAAAAGTGTATATTATAATTAAGATTCTTTAAAAAAAAATTGTAAGTGTATTGAACTTCCTTGTGTTTTACAATAAATAAATAACACTTTCGGTATTATGCCCTTTTTGGTCATTATACACTCTCACATCACTTCTAAAAAAAAAGTTTACCAAACGCTATGACACTACTTTTTATACTCACAGCACTTTTACAAATTCGAATTACCAAACAGTTAGGTGCTTCACTTCACAGCTGTTTATTCTCGCAGCACAGCAGAAGCAGTTTTTTAAAAAAGTACAGCAATACCAAACTAAGCCTTAGACGATTGAGGAGACCAACAAACTGAACAAAGCTAGGGCATCAACCTTCGACACCACAGACTGAACCACCACACCCTCCGAACCTTAGTTGAACTACGATGGGTATGCATACGTTTCCGATTACTTTCATGCATTTTCTCGGAAACCAAACAAGAAAACAAGTTTTTTTCTTTTCTTCATTATCACTTTTGAAAGGGTTTATTTGACTTTGCATCGGCAACACTTTCGGTTTTTAGGGTCATACAAGTGTGCTTTAGAGTTATGGAGAAAAAAACAAACAGATGTTATTAGGGTTTTGCCCAAGATGAGATTGTGGGGGTATAGAGCTTTCCACACAGAGGAGGCCAAGCCAGATCAGGTTTATGTTTTGTTTTGGCTAGAATTTCTACGTTTCAGAGGCTTCAGTTTTATTTAAACTAAGTTGCTATCTTATAATGGTGCAGTTGCTGGCAGTACTGAAATCAGGATGTGCAAGTCAATCTACTGCTCCTGCAAACCATTTGACTAGGGTGAGATAATTGTGTGATCTTGGTTTTTATGATTTTGTTTCTCTTAGCACTTTGCCAGCTGATTTTTTTTTTTTCTCTGAATTCTGCAGAGCATAGCTGGAGCTGATGGTTAGTGACTGCTTCGCAAATTCATATAATAGATATGGTTTATTTGGCTTAAGTAATACAACTATCTTCTGTTGGTTAGAGCATCTAAATAGTTAATGGATAAACACCAGGAAACATTTGGGCGCTGAAAGTTTGTATTGGCAGTTGAAAATTAGTGAGATGTACTGATCTACTGGTGTGAAGTAGGGAAAATTTATAGTTTTGCATTTTCTAGTGGTTTATTCTTTTGCACATAATTTCTATGCAATCATGTTTTGCAGGAATTCATGTTCTATATGGAAGGAAGTGCGCTAGAGAGTTAATGTCTACTTCTTGGCCACAATTTCAACCCACAAGAAACTATATAGCAAGTTCCAGCATTCCTCAATTTTGTAGATCCATTTCATCAAAAGCTTCACGGCAACCACGACAAAGTCCATCTGAGGTTTGCTGCTGAACTGATTTTCTAAACTTTACATGTGCATTCTGTTTGCATGTTTGTGGCTGGGTAGTTTAACCATGTGCATTCTAATTTTCTAAATTTGATTTTCTCTAGATACTTTTTGTGAACTCAACTTTCATACTTATTGGTATCTTGATTCTTCAACTATTTACTTTTCCAGAATAAGAAAGACTTATCTACTGTAGAGGATCCTTTTGATGCTCCTACATACAACATCCCAGAAAAGCCTGTGACATTTGTAGAGGGAGCTTCCTACAGTGTAGTTATTCTTGCAGGGCTTGGAATTGCTGCTGCCGCAGGATATGCTGTCTTTAAGGAGCTTATTTTTGAACCGAAAGAGTGAGGAGACAACAAACCTTACTTTATTTTTATAGTTAAAATATCTTATAAGGTTGTAAATTGAATTTTTGAGTTCTTCAATATTACTCTAAAATGACAACATTGTCTTTGGCAGGTACAAGATCTTTAACAAGGCTCTTAAAAGGGTTCAAGATGATGCACAGGTTAGTATATCATTATTTTTTCCTCTAAAAGAAATGGGGTAAATAATTTCTCTTAATTCTGGACCCATGGTTTCCTAAAAGGGGTTGGGACTTATTCATCTGTGTAATGGCCATGGACTGTGAAAAGATTTTAAATTTGTAATAGCAGTGGCAGTTTTCTTATGGCCAACACTGGCATTAATTTTACGTGATGTGGCTAGGCAGAAACCTCTAGTCTCTAAGAAAAGTCTAATACATAGTGAATATAATAATTTACTGCCAGTTAGATAAAAAAAGTTTGGGTAGGTTAATGAACACTTGCCAAAGAGGAAAACCCTACATAGTACCTATCAATGCATAAAGTACATGTATGAACACCTCACACCTCAAGCCTTAGATATGCTAGCTACAATTGCATGTAGTAACTACAATTTCATATTGGACAGCGGGTTATGCTGATATAATTATTCCTGGGTGAAGAATTCATTTCAACTTTGTATGCAGTTCATGGAATTTATGGACCATGATCGATCAATATCTGTAGGCAGTCAGAATTGAATTCTAATCAATATTATACATAATCCTTTTTGTTTGTATGCATGTGAATATTGAGCTGGCAATGTTGTGGCTCAAATGACTTTGATATTTTCTTTATCAGGTTAGGATGAGGGTCGGATACCCTATTACAGGGTATGGTCAAGAAAGTAGAAACCGTGCTGCTCGCCAACGCATTCCCAACAGAATATGGCATGATGAAGAAGGGGTAGAGCACGTAGAGGTGATTTCCCATTGTCCTTTTTGTTTGTTATTTGAAGCAACTTAACCAATGTTATTTGCAATACAAATCAATTCCCACTCCCTCATTTTGAATTTTGTTATTAATGTAAATGATCTCTCATAATTTAGAGTAGAAATGTTAACTTACTGCTTGTATGACCAATTGATTGTAGGTTAATTTTTATGTACGAGGGCCTCACGGAGCTGGGAAAGTATTTGCCGAGATGTTCATGGACCAAGCAGACAAGCAATGGAAGTACACATATTTGATTGTTCAGATACAAGCACCTTCCCCAGCACAACTGATTTTAGAGTCTTATCTGCCAAGTTATAACGCAGCCAACTAGTCATGCTCACTTCTGTACCAAATGGCATGGGTTGGATATTTAGAGTTAGTCCTGTTAATAAGTTTTCTTTTGTTTTACCCCTAATATCCTCGAAAACGGTCGAGCTTAAACTTGCCCCTAATTTTTTCATTAATAGTATTAAGCTTTATTTTTCAGTCTCATTTTTCTTTTATCAACTCACATGAGAAATTTAATAAATTTGATCCCGAACGTTCCCTTTTTTTATTTATAATTTTTGTAGTGTCAACTAACCATATGTTGTTTCTTCCTCTTTTTATAGAATGCTATTGCTAGATAGAGTGAATGTTGCTGAGATATGATGAGATTGAACCATTCAACATCTCCATTCTACACGCCAAGTGATTTAAGCAGGGAAAAGTTGAAATGCTTTGTTCCTTCCTACTCAAATTTTATTGCAACCAACATGCTGTCATGTTTATAGGATTCACTTTTCTCCATCTCCAAGTTTTAGATTTTTATATTTAATACCAGATTAATCAACTAAGTACACCTTTATTATTTTTAATAATCGGCTTTAGTTGTTCATTTGCCTATTTGTCGTGCTGTCATGTTAGTTAACCTTACAAGGATGGGAATATAAAAATGTTCAATGCATTACTATTTTGTATTATTTGTTTTTGAGAAGATTAGATTATTACTTTATATTGAAGGGAAAATGTTGAAAAGGTTTGCTTCAAAAGATATCAAGTCATTATACTATCAAGAGACGTTACGTTATTACCTTTCTTATTCCATTCTAATTTTTTTATTGTACGTTTTAGGCTTGATTTTTCGGTCATAAACGATATTCTACTTTTAATCTAATCTATACTACACGGAGCAGAGTGAGAAGCGCATCCACTCTTGTCAATTTAGCTAAGTCCATGTATGGATGCATTTTAGTCCTCTCATTCGTACTCATTTGAAAAGAGAAAAAAAATCGATAATTTTCTTGTGTTAAAAAGGATAATTTGGGAACGATTTTTTTCTTCTTTCAAGAAAAATGGTGAATTTATTTATATTAAAAAATATATAGTGAATTAGTTTGCCCCCATTTCAAAAAAAGGACAAAATTAAAAGAAATAAAGCAAATTATTGCAATTTGCAATCTTCCAATTGATTCCGTATGTCAAGGCGGTCTTTATCGTCCACTTTCTCGAACACTATTGTAGCTCAACGGCTCTGATTGCACCGCAGCTAGGCTCCTCAGATCTCCACCGTTATTTTGTTGTCCCCATTAGATGATGACATTTTTCGTTCTGCACGTCCTAAAGACTCGCAACGTGCTCACGGGATTTTTTATTTTTTATTTGCCTTAAGAGTTAAGACTGCAATTTAAACCCACGCTCACATGCTCACGCGCACCAGTTTTTTCTTTAATTTCGTTCTATTGTCTTCCTACTCCTCATATATATTCTTCAATTTGGATGGCATATTTAAGTAAAAGGTTCATTTTATATAATATTTCAATGACATTTTTTTTCCAACTGTTTTGAAAGTCATAAGGAGTCAGTGGCCAACCTAAGATTTTATCTATATAAGGATGTGGTGGACTGTAAACTAAATTGCTGAAACTAATTTTCTCTATTTAGTGGACTAAATGAGACTTAATGGGACCCTGAAGCTCTTAATAAGTAGTGCTCTTAGCCTATTTTGTTGCATAAATATAATTTGGTATCTAAAACATGAGAATTTCAATCAAGTGTCAACAAATGATCGTAATTGGCCTTGAGTATGTTCATTAATGTATGGAGTCAATAATATCATGTATTCATTAATATCTTCTAAAACTTACATCTTTTTTGTATTTTCTACTTTAAATTCTCATATATAGTCTTATTGATATGACTTGATTTGCGAAACCACCCAAAAATATTAAAGGTTGGAGACAATATGTTCAAAGCTAAAAATTAGGTATTTTTCTTTGAATTTAAATATGGACAAAATTTAAGAAAAAAAATTTGAGTTCTTATACCATATGTGACTTTTGAACAACAAAAAAAAGAGTTCATGGTGTTTCTTTCATTTTTAATGAATTTAGACGGTTGTTTAGATTAAATTAAAGTAAATAAGAAAAAAAGCTTTGGACGGTCATAGTGTTCAGGTTCATGTAATTGACTCAATAAGGAAAAAAATTTCATGTAATTAACCAGAAATGGAAAAAATGAATTTATGTAATTAACTGAATAGGGAAAATTGTCCTCGTTGTTCAGACCAAAAAAAAAAAAGGGAAAATTGTTCATGTAATTAACAGAATGAACATGAGGCGCGTGGCGCGATTATTTTCCTTCCGACATCCCAAATTCTAAAACTTACATCTTTTTTGTATTTTCTACTTTAAATTCTCATATATAGTCTTATTGATATGACTTGATTTGCGAAACCACCCAAAAATATTAAAGGTTGGAGACAATATGTTCAAAGCTAAAAATTAGGTATTTTTCTTCGAATTTAAATATGGACAAAATTTAAGAAAAAAAATTTGAGTTCTTATACCATATGGGACTTTTGAAAAAAAAAAAAAAAAAAAAAAGAGCTCATCCTGTTTCTTTCATTTTTAATGAATTTAGACGGTTGTTTAGATTAAATTAAAGTAAATTATTGTTTGTATTAAATAAGAAAAAGAGCTTTGGACAGTCATAGTGTTCAGGTTCATGTAATTGACTCGATAAGGAAAAAAATTTCATGTAATTAACCAGAAATGGAAAAAAGGAATTTATGTAATTAACTGAATAGGGAAAATTGTCCTCGTGGTTCAAACCAAAAAACAAAAGGGGAAATTGTTCATGTAATTAACAGAATGAACATGAGGCGCGTGGCGCGATTATTTTCCTTCCGACATCCCAAATTCGATGACTTTAACAGCTACGTGGCTCCTTGTTGTTGGCCTTCCTTATGTTTTCTGGTAATAAGTGGTGACTTTATCCAGTTTGCTAGGTTTACCTTAACCTGAATATTCTCCACATATGTTGGATTTTGATGGCTTCTTTTAGCCCTAATATTTTTTCCACTCCCAGAACTACCCACAAATTTGACACATTATTACGAAGTTAGCCTTCTGAATTTTCAATAGTTTTCTTTTGAGTTTTATTTTTTATTTTTTGGTTCATAAGCCATCAACACGGTCCACAACCATGCCTTATATTAATGGCATAGCAGTTTTATAAAAATAAAAAATTTATCTTAATAAATGGTATAGTTCTTTAATAAGGGTAATTGTGTAAAAGACAAATTCATAGAGATTATATGTAGGAGTAGGACAAAGCAATTTATGCATGTCACGTTGAAGAATTTGGCACCCTCATAAGAAGTTTGTGACTTGCAGTTGAGAAAATACCCAAAAAAAATTTAAAATTAACATTTTAGTGATGCCAAAAGCACATTTGGTTCATACATCATGTAGATGAAGGAACATGGAGAATATTTTAGAAAA